AACAAAAAATTTTTGGCTGATCGTGTAAGACACCAGCCGAGCCGAGCCGTGCCGAGCCGAACCGAGTTTTAGTAATTGCTTTTTTGTTTGCTTTTATGTTTTTGCATGTTTTTTGGTTTGCTTTTGTTTTGCTTCTTTATTTTTGTTTTTTTCTTCGCTTCCCCTTTGTTTTTACTTTTTTTTTTGTTTCCTTTCTTGCATGCTTTTACTGTTTTCTCTGTTTTTTTTTTTTCTTTTTATCTTTTATGCTTTTTTGTCTTACTTTTTTTTCCCCGTGTGCTCCTTCTTTTGTTTCTGTATATTTCTGTTTGCTTTCCCGTTCTTTGCTTTCGCCTGTTTTGTTTTTCTTTTGCATGTCTTTTGTTTGCTTTCGGTGTTTCTTTTTTTTGTGTCTGTTTTTCTTGCTTGTTTTTGCACGTTTTTGTTTGTTTTTTTACTTTCTGTCTCTTTTTCGTTTAGTTTTGTAAACTTTGTGCATGCGTTTCGTTCTGGTTCTGTCTGTGTCTTTTGGTATTTCCTTTGTTTCTATCTGTTTTTTTTTGCTTTTGCGTCCACGTTTTTTTACGTTTGTGCGCGCACGTGTGTCTATTTGCGCATATTGATTTTGCATGAACATATACTTTTTTGGTTTTCCTTCGTGACTGCTCCAAGCTCCCACAGAACATGTTTTTGTGGAATCGAATGACGAACACAACGATGATGAATGTGGCCGATGAAATGGTCTGTGAAGTGGCAGTCGACAGTGAAAAAGTAATTTTTTACTCGTATATTTCATATTCTATCTGATTTCTTGACATGCTAAGTAGCGCTTACTGCCAATCCGAACTGCTTGTTCGCAGTCACCGTGGAAGTTCAGTTATTCTTCGTGCAGTTCGTACTTTTCTGTAGTGGTGGTGCGCTTTAGCCTGTGTCGCAGACTTCCTCCACTTCCAGCCTACTTCTCATGTAACCCTCAAAAAAGGGAGCAACCAACAGCCCAGCTAGTGAGTTATTAACCGAATTGTTGTCATTTGGGTTAATTCGTTGAGCCTCCCCGGGTTACAACTTCATCATCTAGCTTTTGGCGCACACATATGTTGTGCTTTTGCTCTCCACAGTTGCGTAGGTTTCGGTGCCGTATTTTTGTGCAATCCTTATGCAGTATTCCCTCTAGGACAGTAGCTAAGGGTTGAAAGGCAGACTGCTCTTCTCATGTTCCTAATTAATCTCGTGAGTTATGGCTCCATCATTTTCGATCGCAGCGTTTGCTTATTTTATTTTCAGATGTACGTTGTTATTGCGCGACCCATCTTCAGCACGCGATGCTTAACTGAGCATAAGAATGTGCCAGTTATGGGAATCTAAACAATCTAAACTGCACTGGTAGAGTGGCTGTGCTGTGCACTGCTGAGGTTGTTTCTCATAGCACTCACTCTTGGCCGTACCAAATACGACCGGAGAGGATGGCTCTTCTGTTGAATTAGCTATTTTCGAAAAATTATACATTTATTCCCACACTTTTTCAACTGCCGACACCTCCTTTTAGAATCCGGAAGTTGGTGGGTCATCACAAATTAGTCGATGTTACATACTGCAGGAAATTAGTCGATGTCACATAGATGCTGTATCTCAGAAAAACTTCGGTGCAAGTGGTTAAATCCCAGGGATTTCGGTACTTTTTGGGTGTAAAAGGAAGTAGGCTTCCCGTCGTTTTTTAAATGTGCCAACTTTACCTGACATGTTACAAAAAAAAGAGGCTTTCGGAATAATAAATCTGTAAAAGCATTTCAAATAAATCTCGATCCTCCCCCCCCCCAAAAAAAAAAAAAAAAAAAAATTTTTTT